GCTACTGACTTGCTCTAGTCTCTCTCCTTTTGTTTTCACAACATGTTGCAGATTTCAGTAGAGGCAGAACGGATTTCTGATGTGCTTAAATCAAACCTGGTGTGGCAAGGGTTTAAGCAGACAAAAAAATGAATTCAAGTATGAAATCTAATGCATACATTGTGTGACAAGAAAGTATCATGAGTAACCCTTCAGCCTAACAGCTACATACCAGCCTGGACCAAAATAATTCTCTTCACATGCGAAAAACTTTAAGCAGTGATCCTTTGAAAGTATCCAGTGAAGGTGCCATGATTCCCCCAAAATACATGCCAGAAGTTTGGCTTTATCCTTGGTGATAGATCCTTTTTGCCAAGAGGCTGAAGTTACTGGCATTGTTCATGAGGGTGTTGAATGCGTAAGTGTCTTGTATTTCTTCCTCAAAACCTTCTTGGCCAGGGTGACTGCGTGTTCTTACTGATTATAGTTTCTGATACAGAGGCAGCTGTGTTATCAGTAGTGATCTCTTCTGTAATGTGCACAGTTCTCTGGAGTGCTTTCAGGTAAAATATGTTTTTATGAAAGATATCCTTGACTTGCTTTCTTAATACAGTGTAAAGTGCTTGCTCTGTATGACTTGTCTTTTTATTTATTTTTCTCTGATTCTTTTTCAGGGAATATTAAATATTTAATTGGTAACATTTTTGAAAGTGGCTGCTAAAACAGATTGATTTTCCTTGCTCGGTCCCCTTTACAGTGAAACATGAGTCCCTTTTTTTTTAATTCAGCCCAGATGGTATGCTGCTTAAAGTGAGCAATGTGTTGCAGTGAAAATGGACTACTTTCCTCTTCTTTCCTTCCTCCTTTATTTAACTGAACACATCCGTGTAGCTCGGATTTGGGTTGAATTCAAAATTAGTCAAAGAGGCTGCAGGGTAAATATGTCAACTATTGGAAAGCCAGCTCTGCCAGATTGAAGGGATTTCTGCCCCTGCCAACAGGGAGTGCAGCAAGTTGGTTACACAAAACCTGACATCTTTATGGACCTTATTATAAAACCGGACAAGATGATCTGGTTTGGTCCTTTTCATGCCTTTCTTGTGTGTGTGTCTGTAACAGTGCTCTGCCTCGTGTGTGCACAAATCCTGGAGTCATGCAGTGGGCCGTGTGCTGAGTGGGCAGGCACCTTGCATTCTTGAGGGTTGGGAGATGATGATTGCATTGAGGATTTCTTTGAGGATCATTTAAAATCCATTAGAAGAGACCTGCAAAATGAGGGAAACGAAAGGAGCAGTACAATTTAAAACAGTTCCGCATGTGCCATTATTTTAACAGTTCCTTATCCACCAGTAGAGTTTTTGGGCGTGGAGTAATACACAAAACAAGTTTCTAGATGCGTTGACTGTGACTCTCAAGTTGCTGTCTGTAACACGTGACTCTCCTAGCAGCTGATGAAGGTCACATTTTAAGAGAAATATCTGTTGCTTTACAACTGGATTGAGTCAGAGTTCCCGTGTTCCCATTCTACAGCAAAGCTTTCGTAGGGCTGTCTGCAAGTAACTTGATCTGCCTCTGTATTTTGTTTCCTGTTTGGTGAAAGGGTTGGTAGTACATCCTTGCTTTATAAGAACATTGAGGATAAATTTATTGTATGACAAAGGAAATCCTATAAACAAACAACTTACTGGGTAACAAAATTTGATACGTTTTCCTGGATTGTTGCTCCAATTTAATAGAAGTATGGCATTTATTTAAAGGAGTTGTTAAAAATAGCTGAGACTTGCTAGCAGTTTTTAGGGAGGGTTGTTTCTTGTTTGTGGGGTTTTTTTTGCTTTTTGAAACTGCAGAAATTTCCAAAATTACATAGCTTGGTCTAAATTTTTTCGTTAAAGGAGTGTGGAGGTCATGGCTAAAGCTTTTCAGACAAGATAACATCAGTAGATCTGTCAAGGAAGTGTTACAGTACTTGAGTTGTTATATTTTCTCTCAGGAACACCATGATGCTTTGGGGGAGAAGACAGTTCTGTACTTGGGGAAGGTAGTAGCTGTGGAACATGGTGTTGGTTCTTATCTAGAAACTTGTGCAAGTCATGAAGAAGTCACACACAAGTGTCCACAGGAGGATTTTTCATTTTGAATAAGTGTTGCTTCCATGTGGAAGTGAAGCAGGTTGTTTGAGAGGTGTAAGTATCAGGTTAGACAAGAAGGTAGTGCAGAGCAACAGGGAGAGATGCCATGAGATCGGCATCTTTTTGATGTTGCTGCCAAAATGTACTGCCTGATTGCTTAGATTCTGAGAGAGTAAAAGCCTTGGTAATTTCTAATTCTCTTGTCGAGCTTGGAAAAGCTCTGTTTTATATCAGAGATTTATTCTTAGTCAGGACATTTCAGTTTTGTAGTATCTGAAAACTTGTGAATTCTAATAAAAGTTACGACTGTTATCAGGAAAGTCTTTCAGTCGTACCACACTGACCTGAAAGCTGGTTTTGGGGGGGACTATAGAGAAGAGAGTTATATTCTGCTGTTGAAGCTCTTAGAGGCTTTATTATTAACTCGATACATGGTATATTGACTGAACCTTTACATTGCAAAGAATAACCAGGTATCTCATCTCTGTCATATCTTGTCATATTTCACCCTGTAGCTGTTTGAGTGTAGTGATTTTTGTTTGGTCATTACTTACCAGGTACACATCAGTGATACAAAGACCGATCTGAATGTGTTCCATTACTGGTGTAAGGGGAAAAACAGCATAATCAACAAAAAAGCCCTTTCTGATTGAACACAGATCTGCGGAACTTAGTTAACAGTGATGGCTGTAAAACAGCAGTAGCCTGGGAGTGGTTATTGATAGATAGTGCTGTACCTGTTCAGTGTTTCATGGCAGGATTATCCAAGGACAAACTGTTGCCATTGCTGATTTAAATTTAGGGTCTAGGGCATGAGGCAGAGTTGGGTGTAGCATTTCTCCAGGAGCTGCTGGGAGCAGTGAAGGCCCTGCCTGATTGGGCTGGAGCTGAGCTTGTTCCAGTGTGCTGTAGGTTGTAACAGTGTGGAGGGCAAACCGGTTGCTTCTCCTGTGATGCAGGGAATGAAACTGAGGTTTGAATGAAGCTGCTAAAAGATTTGAATTGCCAGCTGCATGCCTGGGCATGCTTTTTGGTGGCTGTCACTCTCTTTCTTTAAGCAGGAGACTTAGGAGTGGCTCTGGGGGTGTGGTCACTGGCTTGGATTGCCCACCTGCCTCAGAAAACCTTATTTCCACCTTTTTGTTTTTTTTTTTTCCAAGCCACCTTGTCTTTTAACAGCTCAGGGCAGATTTCCAGTAAGGCATCTACTCTGTGCTGGCAGATTCTTGAAACAACCCGAGAAGAATCAGCCATTTGCAAGAAATAACATTTGGGAGGAAATACATTGTTTGGGGCAGACATAGGCTCAAAGAAACTACCTCCCTGAAGCATTTCTATTGTGTCTTTTGAAATAGTGATGTTAAACTTAGCAGTTTTGCCTGTGTCAGGGATGGAGCATTTTGAAATGCTGTGGGTAAGAAAGGGAATCGTTTGGCTGATTCAAGAGTTTCTGGAAAGCCTCATGCTCTAATCATGCTATAAAGCTTGTTATTTTGGCAGATGAGTTCTCTGCAGATGCCCATACAAAGCAAATTCCTCCCTGGGAGTTCAGGAATAAGCTAGGAAGGGGTCTTCCCTAAACTGCTGATCCTGGCAGTTGTGATCTGCCCTGTGCCCTGTGCGGGACTGAAGAGTGGGGCGCTCCCCGTGCTGTGTCTGTTGTGCTTTTCCTTGCCCTTTGTGTTCAGGCCTTCCTGGGGAAAGGGAGGAGTTGGACTTCAAGAGCAACAGGAAGCAAGCTGGAGTAGGGTGGGCAGTGGAGGGAACCGACTGCAGGTCTCCCACTCCCCCAAAGTTCCAAAAGTATTGTGGTTATCCTCAAAATAGATAAATGATAAGTAAATGGTTAAGCTTTGTGTCAGCTTAATTTGTTCTTTCTGTTTTTTAACGATGAAGGTAGGTAGGCTGGCGGGAGCAGGGCGGGGGGTTGAGGGGAGACATATTTTTTGACAATTCCATCCTTACCTGGGAAAGGTTTGTATTTCTGATCTTTTGCTTGGTCAAGTATATGTTGCCTGGGACAAGTCTGGAGTATGACAGGAAGATGAGGGGAAAGATATTCTTTCTCCCATTCTCTGCCTTGTCTTACAGCTTCCCCCCAGCTTAGCAACAGGTCATGCCATTTTGGTGCTTATTATGTTCCTTCATTGAAGTTTGTGTTTCTTTGATATCTGCATTCCAGAAACAATGCACTGAGAAAAACGGTAGATTAAAATGACTGACTAGAGCTGTGTTTTAACCTTGAAGGCAAATCTCTAGATTTCTCTCTTTCACTGTTATCTCCAGTATCCTGCTACTGACCCCCCACCACTTAGCCAACTGCCTTACTAGCCTGTGGACAGATAGATGCCAGAGGACTATATTAACACTAAGAAGCTCAATTCTAACTTTGATCAGCAGCACTACGTTTAAAACTTAATTGAAAACCTAGTATGAATTACTCAGTGCATAGCCCTTGGGTAGCAACAACAAAGTATTCTGCCAGCTAAGTACTAATCTAACAAAAGCGAGGGACTATAGAGTTGAGTTCCTCATCTGTTTTATTTCTGTTTAGACTGGCCATGTGTAGAAGAGATTTTTTTTTTTGGAACAAATTTTGCTTTGACCTGAGTATACGTAGAAGGCTGCATGTAGGTTCCTAGAAAGAAAATAGTAGGAGGGAAATCTGCAGAATGGACTGTGAGAATGAAGAACAGGTAAAATGATAATTTAGGAAACAGAAAGTGCTGCCAAAGTACCATGTTCAGGCTGCTGATAGGATAATGACAAAATAAGCAGGGTCAAGATCCATGTTTCATCTCCATTCAACCACTGAAACAGCTTGCTCAGTGACTGCTTTTGTTGCCTTTGTTAAAATCCTCTGTAGACTTACCTCTCTTTCATTTGTCGCAGACAGCCAACTGTTGCCTGGGAATAACTTCACAAATGAATGCAACATTCCTGGAAACTTCATGTGCAGTAATGGACGCTGTATCCCAGGGGCCTGGCAGTGTGATGGGCTGCCAGACTGCTTTGATGACAGCGATGAGAAGGAATGCCGTAAGTGACCATTGCTGTGACCTTAACATGCTTTATATCACAAGGCTTGGCTGAGTAGTGTTACTGGGGTGTTCTGTAGTGTGTGTTAGGGAAGTAACAAAGCTGATGCCAGTTTAATTTAGATCTTGTTAGAAAAAAAAAAAAGCACAAGCTTTATTATTTCAGATCTTCAAGATTCTTCAGTATCCAATGTAGTTTCTTTATGTGTATGCTTTATGGAGGTTTTCATTACACTTAAACTGAATTTATAGGAAGCTTACCTTTCCCAGGACACTTCCAAAACATCATTAGCTTTCCTTATAGAGCAGGAGGAAAAAGGAACAGTTTCTTTCAATTTACCTGAATAGAAATACCATGTGTTGTTAAATACTCTTGCTTTTTTATCTTGATTGCCTCTACTTTAACCCCAGTTATCCATCCCTTTTAAGTAAGGGGGCCTTAATAACTGTGTTGTGGAAATCTCCATATATAGTTCTGCTTTAAGGCAGGGAGCTTTGCTCACTTTCTAAAGCATTACAGTATCTGTATGAAATATCAAATGTTTTGCAGTTCTTATAAGGCATCAGGCTCATGCCGCAATATTGAAGGCAGGTTAATTTACCTTTTTTTCTTTACCTAAATGTTAACATCTTAGGAAAGGATGGGTTTGTTATTAGGATTGATCTTTGCCATGCATATCTGTTTTAACCCTAGCAGAATTGATATCGATGGGAGCTTTGGCAAGAATAAAAATATCCAAAGTTCAACCTGTACCTTTCAGTGAGATGTTCCTGATGACAACAGCTGATTGACTCAGGTTCCTTATTACTTGGCTCCTGAAGAGAGTGCTGGCATGACTTTGGGTGTGCTGTTTCTACTTCTTAAAGCAAGCTGAAATGATGGCACTTCTTGGTATTTATAGGATGCAAACCAGGAGTTTTTCTGTCTCTAAGAGTGTTGCCATCATCTGCCTTGCATAAATTTTGTTTCACCTGATACAATTAGAAGATTTTTGTGGAGACTTTAATTAACCTGAATGAAGATTTCCTTAATGAAGGCTATAATGGTATTTATCCAAGAATCAGTAACAGGAAAATATGCTTTGTGACTCTGTTCAAAAATTTCCTTACCAAAATCAGTTGAATTACAGACAGTAACAAACATAGTAACTGACAATAAAATATAAATAGCTGTAAAATGACAGTTCATAAGAGCTGTTTTTGTCACAACAGACTGAAATAAACCTCACTGATCTAGGCTATGCTGCAACTATGAATTTTAAGTTTCTGCAGAATTGTCCTTTGTTGGGTTTTATATTTAAATACTTTTAGCCAGCTTGATTGGCTAACAGTTTCCTGTATGAGCATCCTTTTGATCCTACACAAGTTGATGGAGGTAATTAGACTGTTCTTTGCTCTTGCTATACATCTATCTGCTATCTGATCACCCTAACAAATGGAAAATAAGCATAGAAAAGAGACTTGCAAGGAGAGCAGTGCTATCCTATGCTGGCCTGCTGTTGACAGGTCAGATAAGCCAAAACAGAACGTAGATAGTGCTCATTTGAATCTCCAAATCTGTAGTGTTACCAGCCAGTCTTTTCCATAATGAAGTAATCAAAAGTTGGATGGGCTTATACAGCTTAGTCTGGTGTTAGATTTGTTCCTAGCTCAGAGATAAGGCATTGAAAAGCAGCCATATAGGTATAAACTTTTATTTTTGATCATTTTAGGCTAGGCCTTGTTACCTTCTCTCTATCACAACAGGGCTCTACTTTCTGAAACTTACTTTGCAGCAAAATTAGTCCTTTGTTTTCTGCTGTGATTTTGCTTTGCAGTAGCTGAGCTGTTGATAGTGGAGACAAAGCCATAGGAGTTGCATTAGCAGCATGAGATGGGTGAGTTCCCAGTGTGTTACTACTCTCAGCTGTACTCTTAAGTTGCTTTGCCTGTGATTCCTCATCGAGTAACTGTTTCACACTGAAAGGTGTTAGACTTGCTAAGAAGTGTTTGTGTGTGAGTAGGAGCTTGGTTACCGGATTCATTTGGTGCTGTAGACTGCTATTGTTGTACAGACGAGTATGCTGTATTTTGGCATGCTGACTGAGGAAGTTTCATGCACACATGTGTGTGGTTATGTGGAAAGTCTTTCTCTTTTGGTTTGTCTTATAGTTAAATGTGGGTGTACAGCAATATTTTATCAATTCCATTGCTGAAGGATCTCAGCCTGTCTGTCCCACTTCAAACAGGAGAACTTGGAACTTGTGGTCTGGTTCTTATTTTTTGTGGCCTGTGAGTGGATAGTCTGGGAGTGATAGTCTGGGTGTGAGGAGAAAAAAAGATGCAGAACAGAATTACCTGCAAGTTGTCCATTCATGTCTTATCTCTTCCCTCTCTTCCTTTTGTCTCCTGCTTTGCAGGACTTTCGTTGTTAACCATGTCCCTTTGCTTGTGAGCTTTCTCTGCATCTCCCACACTTGCCAGAATCCATACTGTCTGTTATCTTCTGTGTTTCCTCTGGGCCCTGACCTGTGATCAGTTTAACACTTCCCACACTGGCTGGCTTTATGCTGTTATTGCACAGAACATTTCTCATACTCTTGCCTTCTGTCATGGTGATGTGATGACTGAAAAATTTTACCTTGTTTTATATGGGGAGGAGGGTTAAGGAAAGGCATGGGAGGGAGTGACTCCACATTGTTGTAAATAAGAACTACTTCTCCTTGAAGCAGAATCCCTCTTTTGTTTTTCTTCCAAGGCACTTATTGAGCTTGAAAAAGAATTAATGGACCATAGCAATGTGAATGTTTTGTGAGTACTTCCAGTTCTCTATAGTTTGAGTAATCTGCCATCATCAATGTATCTGCCAAAGGAAAACCCTTTTGTAGTTCATTCCCCTGTCTCTTCTGGTTCTCATCTATTGGGTTGCTCATCAGCCTGTGTAGTCCAGTATCTGTCATGCAAGTTTCTTTCAAGTGCTACTACTGCTATTGCTTTTTAGCTGTGTAGATGATTTATAAGGGAAACTGCGGCTCTTCTTGACAAATGCAGAATCTTTACCAATAGGACTTTCATGAGGAGCTTATAGGTTTTGATTGCATAAATTATAAGTCCTGCACTGGTTGCATACCAGCAGGCATTATATATACCTGGAGTTAGTGCTTGCCCTGGTGAGGTTGGGAGCTACATGCTGTCACCCACTCAGTTCTTAGTGTTATCCAATCTGGAAGAGCCAAAATGTCACAAAATACAGAACCTGAATGAAAAGAGCCTAGAAATGGGTGCTTGCACGTTTCAAAACACTTTGAGGTAAATGCATTAGCTTCAGTGCTGACCTTTATACCTACCTGCTGACCTATTTCTTTGGGGCCAAGACCTGCATCTTGCTGTTGGAAGGATCTAGTGATTTAAGAGTGCACTAATGTTCTTAGTTAAGCTTATAATTTACTCTGTCATCTCTGTTTCCTCTTTCCTTTGCTCTTTGTACGTCTTTGTATTGGATTATTACAGAGAGAACATTGTGAACACAGAATGGCTGTTGTCAGTAATGAGCAGCAGCTAGTGGGGAGATGGCATGTGCTGCCTTTGTCAGCTAACAAGCAGCAGATGGAGGGGATTCAGAGCATGGCACATCATCCGCGCTAAGTGCCTGGCATGACAGCAGCCAGAATTAGAGACATACCAAATACCCAGGAGTCTGGATTTTCCTTCATTGCTCTTCTGAGAGCCATCTCTTACATGCCAGATTTGCACGTCCAGCTATGAGCACATAGTGGCACACAGTGAATACAGTGACTAGCTGTGTTAATGGAAAGGCTAAAGAGTGTAGGCTGTGGCTAGAAAAAATTGCTATGCAAGGATAGCCTTGGGGCAGCGTGTTCTCATGTCAGAAACTTCTCTTTCCCATGTGTTTCTGTTTCCAGTTGTCATTGTTGCTCATTCAACACAAACATAAAGGTAAACCAGGTTTTTGAGTCAATGCTAAAAGATATCTGAGCAAGAGGGCATCATCCATGCTTGTAGGAATGTGCTGCCAACATACTTTTGGACTGGCTAGCAAGAGCCAGTCTGTAGGAACATCTGGAACTGTGGTAGTAAAAAGCTCATTTCATCACTAGCCATCCATCGTCATCAGACCTTGCTCCGATTGTCCTTCAGACAGAGTCTTTATGAGCAAGTCTCCTCCATGGGGGAGAATGTCTTCATTAAATGAAGTGCTGCATGAAAACAGTCCATTTTAATAAGGATTCCCCAGGCAGGTATTGAAGCCACCTGCCAAGCAGGCTTCCACTAAAGGTCAGCTTTGTCTCTTTTCCTGAGACATGTGCTTACAGGGAACTCAGTGCAATCAGAGCTGAAGGTTTTATAATGCCTACATTATACACATGTATGATGCTGGGTTGCACTCAGCATGGTGTGGTGAGCCAAGCTTTTCTGCAGTCTCACACCAACACACTCTCATGGTCCTGAGCCCCGTGACTCATATTTGGGCAATCTAAGAAACCAGTTTAATCCAGGTGTCTAGCAGATCTGGTAAGACCATTTCTGTTTCTGTATCAGGGAACTGAAGCCCCTGAAACCCTGTCCTGGTGACAAATACCGTAGGAACACTTACATCTGGTAGGCTGCATGTGGTAGTGCAAGGATGAAGGTGCATGGTGGGAATGCTTTCTGATCGGTGGTGTTACGGTTGTAACCGTGCTGGTTTTGCAAGCAGTTGTAACTGTCTTTACCAGGTTAGTAGAATAATACTTGAGGCAGTGTTGCAGTTACTTGTTCATTGCTGATATGTTGGCATATTAATCTTTGATTTCATCTTCTCTTATGTGTCTCTTAACTTTGTTCTTGGTTTTACCCTGTGGAGTTTGAGCTGTATGTATATATTATCATATATAATATGTATATATATGTATAATATTATATATAATAAACATGATCTGTTTTTTTGGATTCCATTCTGTGCCTTATCTTTTCTACATTGGGTATGTTTGCCTCTCCATTTAATCCATCTAAATGCTCACA